TCAGGGGCTTTTTGGGTCCCACAGCTGGTGAGAAAACTAACTGTATTATTACTGTTGAACAGGATAAAAGATCTTTATTATCTCTCTTATCCTTTTACTTCAACCTGACTTTTAAAATAATCATTGTAGTGGCTTGTATGGTCTTCCTCATAAATATGGCATTAGATGTTGCTTCGTTTTAGACTCAACCTCTATTTTTAAAGACTCCTCTCTGGACTCTTGAATTTGGGAGTGGTGAGGATTTTTATGTGCTATAGCTCATGTTGGATCTACCCTGGATTGATCTGGTCAGCCAATACTGCTTTTTCATAGATGACAAAAGGGAACTTAAAAGAGAGAAATACTGTGGTAGCATCCAGTGTGGTGACTGTTTGGGCAACTTCTGTGTTAACTTGGTCGCCTCTAAAGTTGATTGGACTTTTCACACACTAGTGTTCTGGTTAAGCGTGTAGTCTGAAGATTGTAGGGCAAAGGAAGGTCATTATGATAACAGCCAGAAAAATAGAGCTTAACATGAAATAGGCATTCACGACTAGTGATACATCCTTTTTGCTTTCTAGAGGTGGTTTCCTAAAGAGGAACTGCAGGGATCTGTATTGATTTTATGACTAAAAGGTCAAGCAGACAGGAAGGATATGTCAAAAGAATTATCACTACCAAATTATAGGAACTGGTTATTAGTCATAGACAGATTTTTCATATTTCGCAGTTATTCTTCCTGCACACCTGATTTGTGTCGTCCAAACAGTCTTTACAGGTCCCTTTCTACAAACATAGAGATTGTTCTATTTAATGTCTCTTGTACACCCGCCAGAGGCTTTATGTTTCTGTTACGTACTTTTTTGACTGAAAGCTTATTTTGCTGATGGGTCTGAAGGGGTAAGCATAACACTAGAAGCAGTGTTGTTTGTGACTAGATGGTGTGTATTTTGAAAGCATGTTGGTAACTGAAATTCTAGCAAGTCTAGTGTCCACTTTGCCTCTAGCCATAGGACATGGGTTAGATGACTTTGAGTATTTAGGCAGAGTAAGATCCCTGACTGCTATAAATACAGTGACAGGTTTGGCGTGTCTCTTTAGTTTACCAATGCTGTCATTATCAGAATAAAGTTCTGTTTAAAAAATACTGGTTTTAAAAGTACCACAATATATAGGCACTATCTAAGAAACCTCTAAAATGAATAATTCTTTATTGTTTAGCTTAGATATTCATATATCATATATGTATTGACAATTCAACATATGAAATATTAGAGTACCAAACATGAAATATTGGGTATTTGTTTTTGTTCTGGGGAACTCAAGGAATCCTAGTGGAAGTAATGGAGATAGCTTTATTAATAAGAAGTAACGAACATAACCAAGTACAGTAATAAATGCTAGGAGCCAGGAGAGCTTGGTGTCCAGCCCTGAGCATGGCACTTCCAACAAATGGTAGAATCTTAAAGGAATGGAGAGACCCTGGACACACATGATTGGCAAACTGAACCAAGAAGACATTAAAACTCTGAAAAATCCAGTAACAGGCAATGAAATGGAAACAGTAATTTAAAAAAACCTACCAACTAAGAAAAGCCCAAGTCCAGACCAATTTACTGTTAAATTATACAAGAACTTCAAAGGATGATCTAGAATCAATAATCCTCCAATCTCTTTAATGAAATTGAAAGGGAAGGAATACTCTCAAAATCAATCCTGGAAGCTATTAATCCAGAACCAGATAAGGATCCAAACAAGAGACAGAACTGTAGGCCATTCTCTTTAATGAATATAGATGTGGAAATCCTCAGCAAGATACTGGTAAGCAATACAACCAATCATCAAAAAGATCATACATCATGACCAAGTAGGCTTCACCACAGGGATGCAAGGATGGCTCAACATATGTAAATTCATAAACTTAACACCTCACAAACAGAAGCAGGGCCAAGAATCGTATGATCATCTCAATAAATGTACAGAATGCCTTTGGCAAAATCCAGCACCTATTTGTGATTTTAAAAAAACACTGAAGAAAATAAATATGGAAACTCTTATCTCAATCTGATAAAAGCTGTGACCGGTATTAAATGGGGAAATATATTAAAAAGGAGGGGTCATATCTTTGTCTTGTTCCTGATTTAGAGGGAAAGCTTTCAGTTTTTGTCTGTTTAATATGATCTTGGCTGATGGTTTGTCACAGGTGATTTTTATCAGATTAGGTAAAGAACATCTATTCTGATTTTCTGTAGGGTTTTTATCCTGCATTAGTATAGTCTGTCAAAAGCCTTTTCTGCATCTATTGAGATGATCATGTGATCTTTGTCTTGGCTCTGTTGATGATGGTGTATTGCATTTATTTATCTTGCAGACGTTGAGCCATCCGTGCATTCCTAGGATGAAGCCTACTTGCTCACAGTGTATTATCTCCTTGATGATTTGCTGAATTCTGTTTGCCAGTATCTTATTGAGTATTTTTGCGTTCGTTAGGGAGACTGGCCTGTCGTTTTCCTTTCTGGTTGGGTTCTGCTCTGGTTTTGGAATCACAGTAATAATAACTGCCTTCAGAAATGATTTTGGAAGTATTGCTTCCCTTTCAGTTTCCTTAAATAATTTCAGTATTAGTGGCATTAGTTCTCTAAATTTCTTGTAGAATTCAACAGCATATCTGTCAAGGCCTGGGCTTTTCTTTGTTGGTATATATTTGACTACATTTTCAATTTCTTTGGCTGATATCAATTATTTAGAATTTTTATATTTTCATGATTTAGTTTGATTGGCAATTTGATTGTGTCTAGGAATCTGTACATGTCTTCTGTGTTTTTCATCTTATTAGAATATAGATTTCTGTAGGATCTGTTGTGATTTTCCTCTTTTGATTCCTACTTGCTTGAATTTGTGTTCTTTCCTCTTTTTGATGATGTTGGCTAATGGTTTATCAATTTTATTCTTTCAAAGAACTAACTTTCAACATTGATTCTTTGTATTGTTTTCTTAGCCTCCGCTGTATTAATTTCTGCTCTTATATTTTCCTCTCTAGTATGAGCTTTGGATTTGATTTGTTCTTTTTTTCTAGAAATCGAGGTTCAACATTAGGTTATTTAAGCTTGTTCTATTTTCCTAAAGTGAGAGTTTATTGCTATAAATAGCTAGATTTTTATAAGGGAACTGGTTTTTTAAAATATAAATTGGAACAGTGCCACCTTTCTGAATCCTTTTTCACTGATCCTTTTGAGTTTTCCAGGCACATGAATATATTTTTTAAATTACTTTGTTTTTGTTTCCCTTTTCCAGTATGATACCATTTAGTTCATTCTCTTCTGTAATTGCACTGGTTGCTCTTTTGAAGAAAGTTAGACTGTAGTAGTATTAATTTATCCTCCTGGCTTTCATTTATTTGAAAATAGAAGAAAATTGATGTGTTTTTTTAAATTAAAAACAACTGTCTATTCTTTATTTTTTACCAGCTTCTTCTTGTTTTGCTTTTTCACCATTAATTTTGTAAAACAATTGACAGCTTTTTACAAATTCATTCTTTACTTAGTTATAGAAATATTTAACACTTCATCTTTTTCTCTGAGAAGGGCTTTACTGGTATCTTATGGGTATACTTGTATTAATTACTCTTTTCTATAATCTAATTCTACAACTTGTTTTCTTCTGAAAACTCATGTGGGAGAACATTTTCAAATTTCTAAATTTTTTGGAAATTAATTTCTTTTCATGTGCTATTGCCAGGTTTATGTGACTACTACATTTAAAGTGTATTGAAATTTTGGTGGTCTATTTACAATAGTCCTTTAAAAAATTAGTGTTGCACAGGTAATTTCACATACAATCATGATACATACATGCACACACACTTACAAGACCGTACTTATTAGTTAGAGCCTTTGTATTGTGGATTCTGTTGGATGAAACAACTTGTTAGTGGCTAAGAATAGTGATTTTTACTCTTTTTCCTTGGTTCTTTTTCTTTGCCTTTGGTATTGAGATACGTTAATGTTGTGATATGTGTACTTTGGACATCGTGGAGTAAGTGGTCAGTTTTAATTTCAGCTTTGTTCATCTCTTGAGTTCTGAGTCTCCCCTCCTTGTTGCTAATTAAATAAATTCTGGGTTGGATCACTTGGGGAGGAATCATAGAAGAAACAAGTGAGCCTATATTTGAGTCTTGAAATATACATAAGTAGAACCGGCAAGTCTTCCAGACACCAGGAGCGAAAAAAAAAAAAAAAGAAAAAAGAAAAAGAAAGAAAGAAAAAGAGTGGGGCAGCATATGAGACATAAGTGGAATGTGAAGAGTCTGACTTTATAACAGAAAGCCTGAAAAAATAGAAAGTAAGTGAGGGTAAAGGAAGTAGGACTAAATTATAGAGGATTTTAAAAGCAAGGCAGGACTGTTTACCATGCAAGCAATCAGATATGCACACATTCACAAAGTAAGTGTAGGACAGAGGGTTATGTATATTGAGCTTGTGTGTTCATATTTCCTTATTCTAAGATGTTAGATTAATGCACTGTGATTTACCTTATGTTCCTACAGGCACTCTTTGGGCCGTATTTTGTATATGACATTCCATCCACATGATTTTTGGAATGAGAGTGGAAGTTGGTGGCTTCTCAGATAGTTTGCCCATTATGTTGTGAATCTGTCTAGTATTGCTTTCTACTCACCCCCATTCTTCCTTTTTCTGCCTTGTCTACTCCCTAAGTTGCTTTGCAAACATTGAACAGAAGAGAGAAATCTGCTGGATGTGGGTAGGTGACCACATCTGCAGGCCTGACTGTTGACTTATTCCCCCAGTGAACAGTGAGTGCAGTTGCCAATTGTGTTTTCACGTGACCGCCATGCACAGATGTGTTTAAAAGCTGGGGGGTCAGGCCCTGGCAGAGTTGTATCCCTGAATCTGGGAAGGTTAGATCTGCAGAAATGGTACTTACGCTGTGAGAGTGAAGGTTGGAGACACTGAGATTTTCCTTGAATTTTGCATAAAGTTGTATTTTTTTTCTATTCCTAGGGGACTCCTTTTCACAATTCCGGTTTGCAGAGGAGAAAGAGTGGGATGGTGAAGTTTCATGTTCCAAACAGGTGAGACAAGTTTGTCTTGAATGTGGATTGAGTCCTCACAAGACTGAGGGACCCATTATTTTTGAGACAGAGTTGGCAAATGGAAAAGAATTGTAAGTTATCTAGTGTCTTCCCAGTTACCTAAACTGTCAGAAAAATTTCATGGAGCTGAAATGATGTAGGTGCTTCAAGCGTGAGGTCAGCCTTCTTCCTGCCATCTGTAAGAATTACTCATAGGCTGAGTTGTAAGGCAGAAAGTACAGTTATGATTTTGACAGTAGATTATTTTGCTGCTTTTTTTGGTCAATATGTGACAATTCCCTTTAGAGCTAAAAATTAACATTTCTCCTATACTGTGCCCTAATTCTTACAGTTCTAACTAACTCTTTTGTATCATTAGGAGAATAAGTGTAGAAAATAGCAACAAATATTACAGAAGTCCTTCAGTGACCCCATAAACTCCAAACGCTTTTATTTGCTGTATGTGTGTTTGTCCAGTAGTTTCTTCCCAAGGGTTCTGATTTTTTCTCAAACAGGAATTCACAGATTCTTTCCGTATAAGTGATAATGGATACCCACCTCCTTTAAAAATGCACAGAATTACTGGTACCTGAAGTACAGCTTAGGATTTTGTATAGTTTAGTTGAAAGTAGACAAACCGAGCTTGCTGAAGAATACAGTGAAAGCTAAACCATTCATATATCATTGTTTTCTAGTCCATACTGGATAGCAGGGACTATTTCAGATTATCTTCAGCGTTTCATGTGGTTCTTGATTTCATCATCAAAACATGAGGTGTTTGTTATTTACTAGGTAGTTATTAGATGCAGCTTCCCTGAGTCTGTGGCTGGCCCATATTAGATGTTCAGCAATATTTACACAATACATAAAAAAGCAGCATTAAATAAGCGCTGTGACAAATGGATCAACATAATACTGTTAGGGACAGCTCCTTTGGACAGAGAGTGATTAAGAACAGTACTGTGGGGAAAAGATCATTAGAATGGGCCTTGGTGGGTGGATGTGGTTCTGGGATGCAGCTTCTGTCTCCCTGAGAGCAGTGAGGAGGGAGGGAAAACTAGACTGTGTCCAGTCTTGGAGTGTGGTCAGCGTGTAGTTTTGCCCAGAAGAGAAGGCTTCAGGAGCAGTTGTGGGCCGGTTGGTACTAATTCATTGTCTTTAGGGGTTCCTTAGTGTGTGGGTTAAGAAATGCAGACCTAAGTGTGAATCCTAGTTCTATGACATGATATGTACTGCTAATGCTCATCTGTAACTTGCAGTTGTAGTGAGAATTAAATTAGTCAGGCCCCTTTAGTGCAGCTTCTGACAGTTTTGAAACACCAAAATAAGTTCTTATTACTAGCATTATTTAATAAACTTTGTTTAGCAAGAACATGAAGATGGTGAGATTTAACTTTAGGAGTACTGTGAAGACTGAACAGATGAGAGGCTGGAGGGAGGTAAACCAATTAGGAGACATTACACTGAGCAACGAGGTGAGAGTGGAAGAGCAGAAGATGTTAGACTGCAGTCACTGACCAGCTGTGACACGGGAGACAAAGATTTGTGATGGTGCTAGTTTTTCTAGTTTGAGCAACTGAGCAGTGATGCCAGCAAACAGTAGAAAAGAAGAGTATAAAAAAGTTTTGACCATTTTGAATTGGAGATGTTGGCAGGGTCCTTCTAAAACTGAATTAATCATTTCCGCATCAAGACAATTTGTAGTTTTACTAGTTTTGTTCCTTTTTGCTTACTTGAGAGAAAAAGATGTGAATATCTATATGGTTTGGTTTTTAGTTTATTATAACGTGTTTCTAGTGGTTGTTGAATGCCTTCCTACACATGGGGCCAATGTGCCCAATGATAGAAGACAATAAGGAGGGGGTAGAAATATGTTTTGCCTTTGCAGTTTAAAGAAAACAGGAATTTCATAGTGAGACACATTGGGAATTCTCACTGGAACCTTCAAGGAGAGGAACACAGTGTGTTACAGCTTCAACTGGCATTCATTTCCCTGGGGCTGACTTGCAGGGTGAAGGGGCAGCACCTGGCAGTCAGGGTGTTCCACATGAGTCATGCCTGGCCCATTACCTAGGGAGCCCTTGCTTGGTACAAGCGTGGTCCATTCACATTTTTGCTTTGCCCAGTGTGTGGGGATCATGTGAGGAAGAAATAGGTGAAAAGAGAATTCATGAAAAAGTAATTTTAGTATTTTTTAATCACCTGAATTTTTTAAATCTACTTTAATTTTGTGTTGATGTACTGCTTTATTTGTTCAGTAAAGCCTCCATATTGGGTGATGTACAGTGGTTGCCAGGTACCCCACTTTTAAAGGCATGGACCACACCTCCACCAGAGTCTAATTCTGTGAGTGAAGTCTGAGAATCTGTTATCTTTAAAGGCTCCCTAGGCTAGGTTCTTCCATTTTTCGGTGCATACATGATCCCTGAGCTCCAAATGCATCTAGGCAGTAAATGCTACAGAGTCTGCTGGAAGTGTCTGTTACTTTATTTTTCAAGTGAGGTCTACAGCAGCTCTTTTCTCTGAAGAATGTACTTTTTACATAAGACTAAGACCCATAGTCGAAGGGTCTTGACTGGAAAAGAACCTTTAGGGCTATAGGTTCCCACCATCTGCACCAGGCTCCATGAACACTGCCAGGGGAAGAATGGGGTGCAGAGACACTACTCTAATGGCAAGGGTGCTCCTGTGGCCCAGTCTCGGTCACAGATGAGGAGGCATTAGGATGTACCCTCTTCTCTTTGTGCCTTCCCTCACAAGATCTTCTGGGTGTATTGTTCTCTTGTTAGTGGCCAGGCCACTGCCAGGGATTTTCAGGGTCAGCCAGGTGGATATGGGGGCTGGGCCCCTAGGCAAAAATAACTGTGTACTGTAAATACGTTTTGTTTTGCTGTAGGAAAATATTTGACACCTGTAGAGTGAAAGAAGGAAAGTTTGCTTTGGCTCATGGTGTCAGAGGGTTCAGTCAATCCTTGACTGGCTCCAAGGCAGAGATGGCATGGCAGATAAAGCTTTTTAACCAGAGGCAGCCAGAGAGCAGTGGGAGAAAGGAGAATAGCATATCCTTACAGGTCGTGCCTCCAGGGAGCCTCCTCTTTTTACCAGTCATACCACCTGTAGTTAGGAATTTACTGATGAGTCTACCAGTGAGTCTAGCAACCCCCAATAATGCTTCAGAAACCCCCCTTTAGAACACTTTTGGGGATGTTTTAGGTCTAAACCATAGCATCCCACTCTGGGTCTCTAAAAGGTTCATGTTTATTATACAGTGTAAAATGTATTTAATTGATCTCTAAAAGTGACCAAAGTTTTGAACATTCCAGTTTTGAACCAGAGTTTGAGGTTTTACAGGGCTGTGTACTCCTGTAAAAATAAAAATGAAAGTCAAAATTTTAATATACAATAGCACAAGGTAAATACTTACTTTACAAGGGACAAATGGGGACATGGAAAAGAATGAGAACAAAGCAAGACTGAACATTAAATCCTGTAACTTTGTGTCTAAAGCTCAGGCAAGTTGTGGTGAGATTTGAATTCTGAAGTGCTTGGGCAGCCTTGCCTCTGTGGCCTTGTCAGTTCCAGCCCATGCGGCCACTGTGTGAGGCAGGCTTTCTTTATTGTCCATAGCTGTTTGGCGGATGGTTAATATTTTTGCCATCTTGGGCGGGGAAGTGGGGGTTCTCTGGTGTACCTTTAGATTTATTTTTATGGCTTTATGCATTGCCTTTTTAGAGGAATATTGTTTGGCCTCCCAGGACTTTTTTTTTTCTTTGAAATCTGTGTAAAGCTTTTGGGAAAAAATGGCAGCGTGATAGGAAACTGGATAGAGGCCTCTGTACGGGAAAACAGCTCAGATGCTAGAACTTGACAACATGGAGAGGGCTGGATGATTGGAGAATGATTTTTATTAAGCCAGTAGGAAACCAAAAGGAAAAATACAAATAGGAAAAGCCCAGGTGGAGGGCTGAAGCCTGACATGCTCACTGAGACCTGTTCTGTGCTGTGCTGGGTGCACCCTGAGTTGGACGATCCAGAGTTGCGCTGAAGCCGCAGCTGCCAATAATGGGAGTGGATGAGTCCCGGGCCCTTGACAGGAGGACGCAGCGCAGTGTGAAGTAGAGCCAAGATGGAGAGCTTTATTGGCTCTCGGTGAGTACTGGAATTTAGGTCCTGGGGCCCTGCAGGGCAGCTGGAAGCACCTGGCCACACCAGAGGAGGCCATGGAGAGGACCATGCACCTGGGTGCCTAAGCCAGGCCCCATGCAGTTTTCTGAAAAAGGCAGGAGGCTGATTTAGACGCAGAAAAACTACATCAAGCTAAAATATACCTCTGCGAAGGAAGGAAAAACATGAGTGGAGGGCTGGAAACCTACGTGCTCACTGAGACCAGGCTGTGCTGTACTGGGAGCACCATGGAGTCAGGTGATTCAAGGTTGAGCTGAAGCCACGGCCACTGATAACAGGAATTGTTGAGTTCCGAGCCCTTGGTGGGAAGATGTGGTGCAGCGTGGACTGGAGCCAAGATGGAGAACTGCATTGATTCCTGGTGAGTGCTGTGGATTGGGTCCCGAGGCTGCTGTCCCTGGCTGGAGGATATCTTGGAGTTGGGCAGAGCCTGGCTGCGCAGTGGTGTCAGTCAGCCGTACCTAGCGCAGAGAGGACTGGTGGGCTCTGCTGGGGCTGAGCTATGCCTCTGGTTGGGACCCAGTCACCAGGGACAAAAAGGTTACAACCCTGTGATATCTACAAGGTACAATCTAAGTCCCTGAAGGAAATTGCAGGTCGACTGGCTCAGAGGCTCGAGGCTAGCCTGCACTGTCCCTGCATCCCTGTGTCCCTGCATGTACCTCAGATAACAGCAAATTGGGGAGGACAGCAAAACCCCAGTCAACATGCTTCGGGAAGAACCTAAGCAATATGGAGAGGGCCAGAGATCCTCAGGACACACCTGTCTGAGAGAATCCAGAAACATGACAAGAGATAGAAATAAAAAAAAACCT